TCAGATCAGAACAGAACAGAAATACTCAAGACCTGTTCAATCTTTAAATCATTGTGTCACTTGTGCATAATTTATTTGAAAAAGTTGCAAATGCTTTGGCACATCCATGCAAAATATGTACAATTATTTGCTGTTTCCTACATTATAAATTGCTTATGCCATGTTGATCAAAATGTATTGTTGACAGTTGACAGTAAGTTTCTGTCATGACTTTGTACACTGCTAGCTTGTTTTAACTAATTATTAGCATGTTTAACAGACTATGCAATGTTTCCAGCATGATTTAACACTGCTGGTGTGTCTGGGCATGATTTAACACCCTGCTATTTTTCACACTATTGGCATTTTTAAGAAAGTTGTTAACATGTTTCTATTATGATTTACTACACGCATGTCAGCATGAGCTGTTGAGTAACTGTCATTTTCAAGAGTGTTTAGGATGTTGGTAGTATGTTCAGCACATGGTTAACATGAATAAATATTTATATTAGAAATATCATACCAGGTAATTACCAGTTTAAAATGTTATTTAATCCTATTTTTATTATTTATTCTTTTTTTTTCCTTATTACTGTTATTTTCCTTATGGATGTACAATGTACACCAATACGTTGGAGATGGTTATTTTAGATGAGGAAATAAGATCATTTAAGATAGTGGAGCCAAACCTGACCAGGAATTAGCAATTACAAAGGAATCAAAACTTTGCTATTTTCAGTATCAATATTATCACAGCAAGTAATCACAGCAATAAATGCTTTCAGTGTTTGAAAAAAAAGTAAAAGAAAAAATTGACTATTTCAGGTTCGCTGTGAAATTCTTCTATCCACTGGACACTGTAAAAAAAGGTTTAACACTTTAGTTTAATTAACAATTCTTGCTATTAACAAGTGGCTTATTGCCTTCCTAATAATAGGACATTGGCTACTTATTTGTACTTATGAATTAACATATATGTAATAAACATATTCTACATAATTTTATTCTACATCCCTAATCCTACCCAATACCTAAACCCAAACTACTACCTTAATAACAATTAATGAGTAGCAAATTTGGAGTTTACTAAGGCAAAATACTAGTTAATAGTTTGGTAATAGAGAGAATTGTTCCTTAAAATGTGTGACCAAGAATCTATACCACCAGGATGAAGGCTTTGACTTTGGTACAGCAAATATTCCAGACAGTAAATGTTCCAAAGAAATCAAAACATACCATATTGATTTTGTTAGCTCACATTGCTAGTTTTGTGGTGAACAATTCATCTGTACATGTCATTAAGGGAAAAAAGGTTGCCCTTCTAATGTTTAATTGAAATCTGTTGGGGTTTTTTTCAGTAAAATCATTAGATTGTCAATATCCTTTTGGGTGGAATTGGAAGTGGCTGACATTTTTAACCACTTTTAAAGTTTTGAAAACAAACAGAAATGGTGAGCAGGAGGAATCTGTTAGGTTGTAATAACTATCCCCATATACTTTTCTCAATCATTCTGAATGAAATGCCTACTTTACATTCATTCAGCTCACAGTAGATAAGACAAGCCACGCCCACTGTTTTCTCATTTTATATTCCATTTCTCTAGAAACTGCATCACAATACATAAAAAATAATAGTTACAGCTTCCGGTTGATGGGGACTTTAATAGTGATGCTTTCTATCACAGAAAGAGTAAACAAAAAGTATTCTATTTATGGGCTCTTACATAAACTACAAGGACCAAATGGAAACCTTATCAGCTCTCATACAGCCTCTATTTTAACGAGACCATTTCTGCAAGGAGCACTTTCACTTCTAGCAATATTCCATATCTATACATTCATTCAATCCCAAGTCTTTGAGAAGTCTGGTTCAGTTTACCCCTCAGATGATTTTTAAAAACATCTCTGGTCCTCCTATAACACATGCAATGACAGCAAAACTTTTTGATGGTTTGTTTGAAGACAACATATCTTTCCTTTTGTCACACACAAAACTCATAATGAACATCTTAAAACCCATAAATGAACCCCTTCTTCCCTTATTGTAGTCTTTCTAAAGATACAAAGATCATTTTTTAATAAAAAAATAACAACACAATGAAGTTAAATATAGGCATTTTCTTTCCATTCAGCAGTAAACCAATGTTAAGTTAACTTTAATGGGACACCATAGTACATCCAGTTCAACCTATAAATCGCCTTTAATGTTTTGCAAATAAAATGGGCATCTATATATATGATTCATTAAGAGGCACTTTGTTCTTCACCAGTAAAAAGAGGTCACTAAGGTTGCAGCATTCTTAATAATAAGAGATCATATTCCATTTCTTTATTATAATACATATAGGCAACATGCAATATCATAAAACGGCAATTTATGCTCAACAATTCAGGGAAAAGAATGATAAAATAAAAGCTGAAAGCAGAAAAAAAATATTTTCACTGAAAAATAAATAGTGAATTGAAATTTGTAAAAACAAAAAAAAAACAAGAAAGTATGTTAAATGAGATTCTGAATAATTTTATGACATACTTCAAAAAATAAAGGTGATTTAGTATTAAAAAATACTAAGTATTCCTAAATTTTATTTTTATTATGTTTTTAAATAAATTGGTCTTCCACTTCATATTTTCTGATTATTCATAGTGTATGAATTAATTCCGGTTCATTTAGTTTTTCCGGTACATTTACCGGAATTACCGGTACTTTAACTTAAACCGACATACATTGGTGGTAGAAGTTGATATTTCAGAAATTATGCGATGTGGGAAAAATGCATTGAGTGTGTTAACTAGCGACATTAGGAGTTAAAAAATGCAATCCATTTTTTTTTCTTGGTGGAGCAGTTATGAGATGGAAATAAAACAAATAATGTGATTGCCTCATATGGAAAATTCAAGCCCATTATCCTGTCATACTTTCTGCAAATAATTTGCTATAATATGTCAAAACTGCTTTTGCAACTGACATGGATTTTGAATTATCTAGCTGGTTAAGTTAACTTTAATGGAACACCATAGTACATCCAGTTCAACCTATAAATCGCCTTTAATGTTCTGCAAATAAAAAAGGCATCTATATCTTGGATTGTCTGATAGTGAATGAACATCAAGTTTTAATTTTATTGTAGTTTTTAGGTTGAGTTTTGACCATTTAGACCAGCTGCATTAAAATGCATTATAATTTAATTTCATCCTACCACATTTTAAATGTACTTTATTTTACAGTATGTGTACTGAACATGTTCTTACAGTGTACTTACCTTATACTGGGTTTTACAAGATAACTATACGAGTTAAGGTTCAGGGGTATGTGCTTCTGTGAGAACATGTTTAGACTGTGGCTAGCCAATAAATTAAATTGTGCAAAAGCATAAAAGAGTTTAAAACATTATCTGTGAGAAATCTTTTCCTATTTTTGATTTCGGTATATTTTCTCTATATTTTCTTTCTGTATTTTCATTTGAGCATTTATTTTTTTTCAAAAAATTATAATTTATTATAGTAAAAGGCACTCCAAGTGACCAAGCATACAGATTTCCCTGAAACATGGGGCATGATCCCAACTATCATTTTTTTAGGTTTAAGAAAACAGCTCTTACCATCTGCAGACACAAACTGGCCGACGGCTGAAGAGACTCCTCCACTGTTTTCCACAAACTGAACCTCAGACACAATGATGTTATCCTCCAGAACCGAACCACAGGCTGTGCAGACTGCACTCCCCCGGGCTGGATCTGTGTCGATGTCCGATCCACCACAGTTCTTGCACTGGCGACTCATACTGACTGAAGACTTAGACCTGAGGAGCACACACCAACTCCATTACAGAACAGGAAACACTTTACAAAACATACTGTTTTTTATGTTTTTGTCAGTTTCTTGTTATTAAGATATTATAAACATAAAACACGTATTAAAACCGAATAACCAGCAATATAATGTTTTCAACAGAACCTTATCTTCAACGGGGATTGAACTCGGGTCGCACGGCTTCATTGGTCTTGCATATTCCGCTCTGCTACGCGACAGTTAGCATGCCGGATACACAATGCACATTTGTCGCCCTGTTCATTGTCGGTCATGATTCCTATATTCTTATATTAGGATTCATTTTATTTTATGTTTTATGTTCTAATGCACATCAATAGTAACGTTATTTTTGCTAAGCTAATGTTTTGATATGGTTTATGTATGTGCACATATGCTACAGAATGAAAGCTAGCTTGAATGATACGACCCTAAACATTCTACAAACAGCTTAGTTTATCGCTTTATTCTTTATTTCATAATGTAACATAAACATACACAATTTACGCTAGCCTTTAACAGTAAGATAGCCACTCACCAGTCAAAGGAAGTAAAGACTTTAGCTCAACAACTTTAAAACCGTATCCAGTCGTATTTCTTGTTGTTTGATAAACTATTTAGATAGCAAATCCTGTTTTACTATGACCAACATGTTTAAAAGAGTTAAATCAATCTGTTTTGGTAAAATACTTCATTTAATTCATAACAACATACTATTGTGACTTTCCAGATCAGTCCATCTACCCAACTGAAACACAACATTAAGGGCTGTTCTAAAAACAGAACATAGAGGGGTGGCCAATATCCAAAAGTTCTTATTTTAATTGTTATCATGAGTTTATTTTGCTTATACGTATTGTGTGTGAACCTAAATACCTTAGAATTATATAAATGCTGAATGTATATTACTACAATACCATTTGATCGTTTTATGTAATAGCCTAAACTCAAAACACCCCCATATTGATTTAACTGAACCAGTGGCAAACCCCAGCTCTAAAGCGCGATAATATGAAGGGTCAGTGCTTTAGCCGTTACGCTAACGCTATTCTCTTTTTGTTTTGTTAAAATTAAGTATTGTTCTTTATATGTATTGCTTCTTACTGCATGTCTTTGAAGAAACGTAAATAAATATCGTTAGCCGGCTGGATTTAAGACTTTAATTTTGACAGACTATATGACACAATGACCGGGAAGTAAACATCGTGCAGTTCAAAATGTGCGCAAATAGTTTTAGTTAACGTTAGTTGAAATGTTTATTCATTGTTTTATTAACGTTAAACTGTTATTATGGAGATTCAAGTTTGGTGATGGAGTGGGAACAACTTGAGCTGAATCCAAGGATTATTGCTGCTGTTAAAAAAGGTTGATAAACAATCCCTTATTGCGATACATTGCTGAGAGAGTGCGTTACAGTTTATTTATCTTCGTGTTAAACGTTATTTCAATGTTTAGGCAATTTTAGATCAGCCAAAGAGATCCTGTGTGTATCTGGTCCAGATCTGCAGAGACTGACGCGCTTGTCAAAGGCTGATGTCCAGCGTCTTCATCAGGCGGTAGCGGCTTCTGTGCGCAAGTCTAAACCCGTCACAGGTTATACTTTTGTATTATTTTAATTTTAAACATCCGGTGTTGTTATAGAGGTAATTACAGAACTTTTTTTCTGATTTTATTTGATCAAAGAGACAGTTCTCCCCCCAAAAAATGAAAATTCTGTCATCATTTTCTCACCCTTGACTTGTTTCAAAACCGTTTGAGGTGTTTTTGTTCTGTTGAATATAAAATGAGATATTTCGATAAATGTTGGAAACCTGTAACTATTGACTTTCATAGTGATTTCCGTCCTACTTTCCAACATTCTTTAAAATAACTTTTGTGTTCAAGAGAACAACAAACTCAACTGGTTTGTAATAAGTCAAGAATAAGGAAATGACGACAGCATTTGTATTTCTGGGTGATCAATGCCTTTAAATTCTTTGAATATTTATATGATTTTAACAAATAAGAAAAAAAGATGAAATAAGATTTATGTAAACATCTGAAATTGTTGTTCATATAAACATGTGAAATAGATTATCTAGAAAAGATACAAACTAGATTAGAATGAATTATAATTAGCTTAAAAGTAAAGTAAATGAGTTGTAAATATAATGCAAGAATAGAAAATAAACATTGCCAATATAATATTTAGCGCTATTTATAATATTAATTATTTACAGTATACAACATTATGTACATTATATAGATATCTTTTACATTTTAGGATGTAAATAGAAAAAATAAAATAGACTAAAAAACCCCTGCTTTAAAAGTCAACCATGTCAAATAAATCTAAACTTTATAAACAATTTCCGGATATTTAAAAATACTATTTTTAAATCTGTTTAATGAAGAAACAAGAAATTTGCTCGTAAACCAACATTAAACAGAACCAGCTCTCTATTTAAAAGTTATATTCATTACATTATAAAAATCAAATATAGTAAGTTAATTTCATTAATAAAAGCTGATTATACAGTAGGTCTCTAGTCTGTTTCAAGCACAAACAACGTGAGTGTGAGTCCTAAATCAACAAAAACATGGTTAAGCTAATAAATAATATTTTGAGCAAAACTATTATTTTGACTTCTCAGCATTGCAGTTGATCCAGGGAGAATGTCCTGTTTTGGAGCCTGGACACCGGCTCTCTTTTGCCTGCCCTGTTCTGGACGGTCTGATGCGTGGTGGTCTCCCATTACGAGGAATAACAGAACTGGCAGGCGAGAGCGCTGCTGGAAAAACCCAGTTTTGTTTGCAGCTTTGCTTGTCTGTCCAGTATCCACAAGAACACGGAGGACTGAATTCAGGTAGTGCACATACTGTGATCGTTCTTAATTAATGCTTTTTTTTAATGTTATCAAATGATTCTTTCATTCTCGACAAGATTTTGTGATATTTAAAAAATTTTTGCAACAAATTACATTTTATTGGGTGTTTTCAGAACTGAAGAAAGTACTCATTTGGACAAAGTTCAGATGAAATGCTGATTTAAACAACTTTTAATGCTGTCACCTAACAGGGGCTGTTTACATTTGCACTGAGGATTCTTTCCCTATCAAACGACTACGGCAACTCATTACCCAGCAGCCCCGGCTCAGACCTGACCTGCCGCCAGCCCTGATCCACAGTCTGCGTTTTAGTGACAACATCTACATCGAGCATGCAGCAGACCTGGTGAGACTGACAGAAACTCCGGTTTAGGCCAGACATTGTTTTAATTATTATTTTTTTTTTTTGAACTTTATTGCTTTTCATATTTTGATTTATTATTATTAATATTATGATTATGAAAGGAAAACATTTAACATATACCTTTTTAAAAGATTTTATTCTGTTGCAGTTCATCAATTTGTGTCTGTAGTTTTCAGTTACAATACATTTTTAATGGCTGCTTTCTAATAAAAATTCTCCTGTAATGAGCAATAAATCTCCACTTCAGCTGCACTTCCATACATCAAACTACAGATTTATTCCTATCTATATATTTTGAAGGTTTTTACTGATGTTCATTTGTAGTATGACTGGCTATTCACATTTTATTCTACATAAGAGTGTGAAAAAAACCCTGAATTATAGAGAATTATAAGATTTCAAAAATCTGATTTGGTCTTAATATTAAACTGCTATACATGTGCTTATCTATTATGATCTCAAATCAAAAAATAAATGCTGTGTATTACTGTGTTCAAATTGCATTGCAGAACACCTGTGATGCTATTGAGGTGGGATTTGAGTAGGTTTATAATAAGGGATAAGTATGTTTAAGGGTAGGATTAGGTGTAATTATACATGTAATTACAGCAATAATGTAAGTAGACAGTAGTTAAGGCCAATAAATATAAAGTGGGACATTCAATCTGTTTAGTAAAATTAAACAAGAATTTTCAACCTGACTATATCAGTGTAGATTTTTGTTAAATCTAAGAGTCAAATTTTCAGACATGCAATGAAATAATTCCTTTGCATTTGTATTTAGACCCATTATTTAAGAAAACATGTAATACAAAAAAACAGTTTTTAATTCTTAATGTAATCAATTGTCTGTGAAAGTCTTAATAACTATAAGTTGTTTTTTTCAGCAGCAGGGTCTTGCTGTAGTAAGTCAGTAGTCATCAGTAAGGCATTGACTGTGTTTTTCTGTGTGCGCAGGAGGCTCTGCAGGTGTGTGTGTCTCAGCGTGTGCCGGTGCTGCTGAAGCGAGGTCTGGTCAGACTGCTAGTGGTAGACTCTGTGGCAGCTCTGTTTCGCAGTGAGTTTCAGGCTGATGAGGCCGTTCAGAGGTCTCGACATCTGCTGGCTTTTTCCAGTACGCTCCACCGCCTCAGTCACACATACGCTGCACCTGTACTGTGTGTCAACCAGGTCAGACTAACATCTCATCTCTATCACCTGATCTGTAATACTGCACGGCATGCTCAGGATGCGCTTTGGAGGTTGTTGTATGAATTTGAATAACACGTATGTTTCATCTGGTATTCTTGTACTTCAGGTTACAGATGTTGTTGACGGCCCAAATCCAGGAAGATGCGATTATGGGTGAGTGTGTTTACAAATATGGGTATTTTAATGTATTTGTGACTTTTATTTGACCAAAATTACTGTAAAACAATAATATTAGCAAATGTTATTACTATTATATTACAGATTATATATTATATAATGAATCATAGTGTTTAATAATGTAATATACTATAATATCGCATTCTGATATTATAATATAAGTTATATAAGTTCATATAAGTCATATTCTGCTATTGAAAAGAACTGTTTTCTATTTTAATATATTTTTAAAAGTCATTAATTCCGGTTATTGCAAAGCTGGATTTTCAACACCATCATGTCAGTCTTCAGTATCACATGATCTTTTAGAAATAATTCTAAATAGTGTTTAATTATAGCAGAAATTATTATTCAATGATAAATCGAAAGCGCCAAAGGTTTGATCATCTTTTCTACAAAAAACTTTTGGCAGAAACAAACCAATAAAATAAAACAAATCATACACCAAATGTTTGAATGATCATGATTTATAAAAATATAACGCAGCAACAAACTAAAAAAAAACATACTTAAATGTACACCAATTTCAGTTTCTACAAAATCAGACTGATAGCAAATTTAGACTTGCGATTATTGGAAAAAAAGAAAATTACATTTAAAATATTTTCAGACATGAAGTATATAATATTAAAAAAAAAAACGGTTTTACTGTATTTATGAAAAACATGCAACCTTGGAAAACCTATCTTAATCCAAATGTGGACTAAAATCTGAATCTAATCAGATAATATTTTGATCTCTGAAGCTCTCTCATTTTTTTTATTACTTATAATACACAGACTGGTGGGCAGTAAAGTGCTTCCAGCATTGGGCATCGCCTGGGCCAATCAGGTGATGGTGAGGCTAATGCTCAGGAGGCTGGCAGGACAGGTCAAATCAGACAGCCGAAGCTGTGCTCCTCGAAAATTAGAAGTGGTTTTTGCCCCACACCTGCCTCGATCAAGCTGCCTGTGTGGGGTTTGGGAGGAAGGGGTGAGAGGAATCCTTGATGGAGACTCAGATCTGCAGACACAGTGATTCAGCAGATGGAGAACTCTCTCTCAGTACTACAGGACAGTTAATGGAGGTAATAGCTCAACATTTGTAAGGACTTTGTGAGGAATGGTTGCATTTTTACCATTTGAAACGAATATGCATTATTTCCAAGTACGTTTGTAAAATCAATTCAATTTTTTATAATACTTTAATTTCTTTTCTTTTTTTTAAATATTGATATTATGTCCTTTAATAAATGTTTTTTTATGTTTTCAAATGTTTTTTATTCTATCTGTAATAAGCGAAGTGAATAAAGGGTGATGCTTTCTCACTGCTGCCCTTGAATATAACGAACAGTTTTATTCTTTTATCTGAAATCACAGATACCATTAGAACAAGTCTCACATTTCAAGCATAACAACAAATTAAGCCTTTTTCCTATAAAAATAACTGAGGCTACAAACAGTCTTTGTCCCATGCTGTGCCCAATAGGTTCATGTAACAATGTAAATTGATTTAATGTGACAGATGACCTTTCAATCAGACTGATCTATTTGGGCAAGTTCAAACAATGTAATCTATGGTAAGAGCAACTCTATTGATTACAAAAACAATTATATTGTGTATGTATATAAATGTATATAACACCTTATATACATTTTCTGACCCATTTTATTTTATGCTAATTATAATTTTAAGAGTATATATTGTAACCATAATTTTGAGACTTGTTATGACGTGTTAAGAGTTATAATGACCAGCAGAGGGAGCTGAAATCCAAACAAACTCTGTCGTTCATGCTTCATCTGGCACATAGGACTGTCCTTTACCACTGAAGCTGAAGGATAAATATTGCACTGATATATATGTCTAATCCACAACACAATAGATAAAGAAGCGCTTCACAACTCCCTATTGTCCACAATAATATTTCAAGGTCCCAAGGCTTTGCCAGTTGTTTGTAATTAACTAGATATTAGTATTCATATCTATTAAGGATAAAAGAAAAAGGGGAAAAAAATCATAGAAATAATTTAAAGCCTTTTATTTTTGAGGAAGTTTCCCAGTTCTATAAATGTATGCTAATATAATATAATATAATGTAATAATTCACAAATAAATATAAAATATAGTATAATACTCTCATACAGCATATGCATTTTTTCTAGAACTGTTAAAATCTCACATCTTCAGTTAAAGCAAATATATAATAATTATTATCAATGTGGTAATTACATTTTGTGAATACATTTTTCTCTTTGATTAATATAAAATATAAGTCCAAATTGTTAGCCCACCTGTTAATTTTTTTTTCAAATATTCCCCAAATGATGTTTAACAGAGCAAGGCATTTTTCACATTATTTCTGATTTTTTTTTCCTGGAGAATGTCTTATTTGTTGTTTTTTGTCTAGAATAAAAGCAGTTTTAAATATTTTTTATTATATTATATTATATTATTAGCACCCTTTAGCGATATTGATTTTTGATTGTCTACAAAACAAACCATTGTTATACAATGACTTTCCTTATTACCCTAACTTGCCTAGTTAACCTTATGAGCCAGGTTAAGCCTTTAAATGGCACTTTAAGCTGAATACTACAGTCTTGAAAAATATCTAGTAAAATATATTGTACTGTCATCATAGCAAAGATGAAAGAAATCAGTTATTTAGGGTGTCCGCGGTGTCTTAAAAGGTTAGGCTTTAAAAAGTCTTAAATTCACTGAAATATTGTGTTGTGTGTCTTAAATACTTTTAGACAGGTCTTAATTTCCCCTAAAGCTATCAATCAGGTCAACACTCATCAAATCAGCAACAAGCCATATTAATAAAATCAGGGAAGGAACACTAAAAACAATTACACAGTTCCTCCTGATAATAACAGAGCAATATATCCCTTTACATTATCTTCAATTCATACAAAAAAACTATTTACTGAAATAAGGGGGAGTAGACATAATATTTATAAATAGGCATCAAACTTAAGGTTTTATAATAGAAACACATTAGGTTGAATAGGAGTTATACTCGATCAATGTGGACCGACAGCCAACAAATACATTTTTTGATTATTTATATAACTGGCTCCACAATAAATATACTTTTAACAATGTTAAACTTGTCATTCAAAAAAAGAAAGTAATATTATTGTGAAAAAAAGTGTCTATTACATTTTTTTTTGTTTTGACACATTAAAGTATGCCACAACAAATAATTACATTTGCTTGTTTTGTGGCAAACCAGGCCATTAGAAATAATCATTAGTGTTTAGTCCTGTATACATCTAAAATTTCATTCATATTTGTCTTAAAAGGGTCTTAAAAAGTCTTAAATTTAACTTGATGGAAACTGCAGAAACCCTGTTATTAGAAATTAGTTATTTCATTTCATTTTCTTGTCGGCTTAGTCCCTTTATTAATCCGGGGTCGCCACAGCGGAATGAACCGCCAACTTATCCAGCAAGTTTTTACACAGCGGATGCCCTTCCAGCTCTGGGAAACATCCACACACACATTCACACACACACTACGGACAATTTAGCCTGCCCAATTCACCTGTACCACATGTCTTTGGACTGTGGGGGAAACCGGAGCACCCGGAGGAAACCCACACGATGGCAGGGAGAACATGCAAACTCCACACAGAAACGCCAACTGAGCCGAGGTTCGAACCAGCGACCTTCTTGCTGTGAGGCGACAGCACTACCTACTGCGCCACTGCCTACGCAGAAATGAGTTATTAAAACTATTATTTTTAGAAATGTAAAAAATGAAACAGAAATTGGGGAAAAAATATAAAAGGATTTAAATTTAACAGAAGGCTAATAATTCTGACTTCAACTGTACATTTTACTCAGTGCACAATTTGTTTATGGATGTCTAATTTTGTCCTCTGCTGCTTTCCCATCACTTCATCGATTGATTTATGTGGCCTGCTCGGTCTCATGGGAGTCCCAACCCAACACTGAGGCCCAAATCATATTACAAATCTGTGAAAAGCCCTGAGTCATCCAACTCTATTTCACAGTCTTTTTCACAGTAAAGCAAGATTTTGGCGCATGCATCCTCTCAAGTTCCACATTTCAAGATGTCTCTACAACCAAGAGCTCTCCAAATGAAAAGTGCAAACAAGCAAAAATGCCAGGCAGTGATTAAAGTCCAGCTACAAAGAAAGGCCTGTAATCCTGCAAAGCTACTTAAAGGGGACATATTTTGCCCCATTTCATAGGATGTTAAATAAATCTATGGTGTCCCAATGAATTTGTGTTAAGTTTCAGCACAAAATGCACCACAGATTATCTATAGCTTATCAAATTTGTCCACAAACGTATATGAACAAAAACTATTTTTGTGTTTTCCTTCAGATGCAAATGAGCTTCTGCTTACCAGATAAGGTTGGAGCATTGACACGCTATTCTGACACTCCAGAAACAACAAAACAAGCACATCTCACACAGCCAAAATATCAGAAATGAAAAGTAGCAGATGTTCAAACATTATTGAAATATAGGGGATGCAACCTCTAGACTAAACCAGGATATTTCTTAAAGGTTATAGTGGATAAAATTAGGTAGTTTATGTTTAGGAATCTAATGCACACCTCTCGAATAATGTAACTGCACGTCGTAATGAAATCTGTGAACGGTTGATTTGGTAGCAGCAAGGTTTACGTAACTTTTTAATTCCTAAGGTTCCTTTTACAGCATCGATAATGTAATTTAAGTTAAATTATATTGAATTAAAAAGTTAAATAGACTTGAGCATTAATTTAGTTGTTAAAGTGTAAAACCACATGAAAAGCCATTTAAGCACAAGCGCTGTCAGGAGTAGGAGGCAAGCTTGAAAACCCTATTGAAAATACTGTGGTAAAATAAATTTACATATTTTAAAGGCTTGGTGCATGGACAGGTGCTTCTTGTCTGGTGTGAGACCCACTTTACTCTGTATCTCAATCAGGCAGTGAAGTCTTACATGTGGCTTTTTAAAAAAATGTTATAATGGTATTACATTTTACAAAGGTTGGCATGATGGCTCAGTGGTTGGAACTGTCGCCTTACAGCAAGAAGGTTGCTGGTTTGAGTCCCCACCGGGCCAGTTAGCACATCTGTGTAGAGTTTGCATGGGTATTTTTCAGTGCTGGGTTATGGCTGGAAGGGCATCCGCTGCATAAAACTTATGCCAGAATATTTGGCGATTGATTCTGCTGTGGCAGCCCCTAATAAATGAGGGACTAAGCCGAAGAAAAATTAAGGAATGAATGACATTACTCCAGGAGCGCCTGAGCTGGCTTATACAAATTTAAAATCCCTGACATACTGTATATAATCATTGCAGAGTCGGTTTCAGAAGATCTCCTGATGGATACTTTGATTTATTCTATAAGTTATTGAATGTCTGCCACTTTCCTGCTGTTTCTATCTTGAAGCTGCTTCTACTTCATTCAGAAATTCAATTCAACCTTAGAGGATGTGACATTAAAGACATGTTTGTTGGTAGATCCAACAACAGAACATTTTTTTCTGGTGCAGAGATTGTAAATCCTCAGCTGCGAAAGCAAGCGAAATAGTGAAGTGCTGCACTGGCACTGTGGGTGGAAACATAATTATAGGGACAGTTCACCCAAAAATGTCATTATACTCTTTACAAACCTATGGGTTTCTTTTGTCGTTGAACACAAGAAGATATTTTGAAAAAATGTTGTCAAGGATAGCCATCAACATCAGTAGTATTTGTATTTTCTACTATGTATGTCAGTGGTTAAAACGATAATCATTCTTCAAAATATCTTATTTTGTGTTCAACAGAAAAAAGAAACTAATAAGGGTTTGGAACCACTTGAGGGTGAACTATCCCTTTAAATGTTGGTTATATATGATAATATCCCCTTCCTATGTCACTAGAGAAGTCAAATCTGAGTTTTTTCCACATGCTTTACACAAGAAAAACAAAATCACTGGTCCTGTTTCATATTTTCCAAATTGGTAGCTTGATTTAAAGCATTATCATTACAGCCCTCTTAAAACACACTGAGAATGTCACATTATCAGCATCAGAAAACATATTACTGCACACAAACAAGTGAAACACACAAGCAACAAACGCTGTGACTGAGCAACTACGTTCTCCTTTGAGCTCGTCCTGTCACCATGACGACAGTCACATGGGCTGTCTGTCCCAGATTGTCTGACCACCCCCACCATCTCCATCCATCCATCGCACTGCAGCCGCAACACACACACACACACACACACACCCCTCCTTCCACTCAGCTGTTTA